TGGCGGCGGCTGCTGCTGTTGCTGCAAGGAATCCAACATGACTCCTGACTTCCTGCCATTGATGCTGGGGCTCTCGTAAGACACGACCCCTTCATTCATTGAGGAAGCAATGCTTTCGCTCTGGGAATTCACAGCATCCCAATCGGACGTTGTACCCGTGTGACACTGTTTGTGAGCCCCCAGTTTTAACGAGCTCTTGCAAGTAAACGGACATTCGTCACATTTGTACACAGCTGTCTTTCCGGATAAGTGAATGTTCTCTATGTGTCGGGAGATGCTACGTCGATGCATGGTGAGGAAAGGACAAAAGGGGCACTGGAACCTGTTCATAAATCTCCTGAAGGGAATGCCCTTGGTCTCCAATAATTTGTGGCCGTCGGAGCCCATCAGCTGCTCTGCAGACATGCCTGCTGTCTGGTGATCCATAGCGTTTAAGCCGTTCTCACTGTCTATCTCATTGAGCTCTTCCTCGGAGCTAGAGTCATTCAGCATGCTGTTCGTTTCCAGGTCGGCAGGAGAATTTGTCATGTCAGCCATTCCGTAACGGGATCTCTCTGCCAGGTTAACAAGGCCAGAATTGTGAGGTGACTTCGGCTTCATCGGAGGGTAGGACAGGGGCGAAAACTTGGAAGCTGAAGAAGAATTGGGTCTCATGATGGAGTTGCTGATGGAGCCCCTGTAGGTGGAGACGTTGGCGTTGGGCATCTCCCGGCTGGCAGCATTCATGGACAGGTAGGTGGAGTTGGAAGTGGGGCTGGGGTCGTTCTTCGGCAGGTCGGGGAGACTCGTCCCTTCCTGCTGTCTGAGGTTGGAGAGGACCTTGACCATGCTGCGGTGTTTCTTCATCATGTGGTCACACCACCGTTCTCGGCGCGGGGTCTGGTAGCTGCACCACTCACAGCAAAAGTTGCCTCGAGACTTGGTCAAAGGCTTGACCATGGATTCCAAGATGCTGCGCTCCACGACCTCTGCAGGCAGCTCCTTGCAGGGGTCCTGCAAGGACACAGGCGGGATCACGGGGTCTGGCATGGGGACAGGGGCAGGAGGGAGCGCGGCGATCTCCTTCAAACTGTTTTTGTGATACATTTTCTGGTGCTTCATTATTCTCGCCCTCCTTGGTGACTTGTATGTGCAAAACTGGCAAGAGAAGACCTTTCCAAACCCCTCGTGCATCATGATATTATAATTTAAGGATCCTGGAACGGGGGGTCCCGCCGAACTCCCTTCAGCTTGAGCCCCGTGGACCTTCCTAGTGTGTTCAATGAGGAGGTTTTTTGACCTGAAGTAGCGTACGCAGAACTTGCATTGAAAAAACTTGCTTGTTGGTTTGGGATTAGGGGCAATATGCTGACCGTAATATCCTGGACTGTGGCCATAGTAACCTCCGGTTCCCAAAGCAGTTGCATTTTGACCTAAAGAGAAAACACAGGGTAAGTGGGACAAGAAAAGCAAAGCAAGAGAGAATTAAGAAATTCAACCATGCAAATTCACTTTTCTTTTCAATTATTCTTCATAGCCACGAAAGCACGAGTTTCACCAACTGCAGTCTCCATTCGAGAACTTTCAGAGAGACGACACCTTGTTTTCCAAATGGAAAAGAAACTAAGAGTCAGAAGGAAGCCGAGAGGACAATAACCTAGGAACTCAAGAACCGAAACACGATGCCCAAACCACAAAAAGGGCTCAAAAGAGCGAGAAACTCTGCAGAGCAGAAGCCCGCGTATCAAGAACCAAGGCCACTGGCTCAAAATACGTGAGAGCACTGAACTATATCAGACAGGCCGAGGTTAGTCTAGATTTACCTGATAAATCCTCTGCGATCCCAAATTCATCCTTTATAGACGAAAACTCCACCTCGGTCTGATTGCTGGCATTCATGGACCCGGATCGTGGCTCATGCGCGTTGTCTTCGGCAACATCAGTGGGCTGCAGAAACGCCGTGTGGACATCCTGAATGTGCGCCTTGAGATCCTCATAGGATGGGGCTCTGAAGTCACAGCCATCACACTGAAGCACCTCCATGACCGGGGTCTACCCTCTCACATCAGGGACCTGTGGCAGAAGGCACAACGAAACGTCTTAAGGAAGGCAGGGAATGCACAGCCTAAGTCGATGGGGCTGAAGTCATTACTGGAGAAAATTCTAGTATCGGCAGATTTCGCTTATTAAGCTCTACCAGTTGGAACACTGGCTAGAGGAAGGCCATCAGACATAACAGGGATGATGTCCTTGACTTCATAACTTCAAAGAAGGAAAGAAAAAAACACCACCACCCAGATAAACTTTTATTGGCTTGATAGATCTTCAAATGCCATTTGTCAAGGAAACGTCCAGAGTTCTAGTACTTTCTGAATTTCTTGACCAAATTCAAATTTCTTGGTAAGTTAATTCTGATTGTGGTTCTGGCTTGGGCCCATTTTCTTTTGTGAAATAGAGGCTGTCCATACAGAGGAAAAGAAAAAACTTCAATCTCCATTTGCCATTTTAGTATCATAACACTGATGTTTTACCACTACATTGTGAAACAGTATGGCATCTCAGAGTGGTGGTAAAGAGAGCTTTTATTGGACCTTTTATTATTTTAATCTTAATAATTTTAAGAAATAAAAATTTTAAAAATAATTTTATTATTTTAATTTAACATCTTAACTAATATTGGGATACACCTCTTTCCTCCCTTCCCCAAACACTTTAGTTGGTTTTTTCTTTTTTTAATGAGCTAAATGGTTATTTGCTTTTTACTACCCACCAATTATAACTTAACAGCTTCTCCAATCTAATTAGGTCATAAAATATTTCTCATGAGGTTCTCAAACAACCAACTTTAAGATGACAATCCAGTTTCTTGTTTCAAGTTTGCACCTTGGTACCTCCATTTCCATGAAGGCAACAGACAGAAACCCGCAGTCTTGAAGAGGGGCTTCCGAGTCACGACTTTTTAAAATCTTTTCCTATTTCTCTCCTTTACAAATGTGAAGTGTATCCTTGAAAACACACACACACACACACACACACACACACACAGGCTGTGAACCTGATGTAGAATAATTTTAAAAACTTGCCCAGCTACCTTCATTCTGCTATTTAAAATGGGATAGAAATCTATAGACAGCTTCCCACTAACTCAATGGAGAGTCCCATCATAAAGAAGTTAAAAATGTAGAAGGCACAGGCCTTCCTATCATAACATATATTTGGAGTGGAGATAACCAACTGTTATCTTAATGAGCGAGTGAGTTCATGGAGCTCACCCGCCACAAACTCTACTGAGTCACTGCAATCTAGAACCAGATGTCCGAGAACAAACAAATCTCTCCACACTTTTATTGTGCAGCAACTTTCTCTACTTTCATTGGAGAAGATACCTTACGCCTGCGGGAGAACAAAGTCTAGTAGTATGTCCATGTAGTAGAAGCAGCCGATGCGGGAGGATTTTCCATGAAGGCATGCTCCTGCTGATAGCCTACTAAAATAACTTCTGGCAAGTCCAGCTCTGGGCAGACAGGGGCTTGCAGAGTGAGGTGCAGATATGCACCTCCTCTTCTCTCCCCGGGCAATCTATCCTTTTTCAATAAACATCGAGCCAGTGTCTTTTCAGCTAACTAAGTCTCAAGATTCCAGATACACAAGCTTTTAGGTCTAAGCACCAACCCAAATTGTGTGGAAGAGGGTTGCTATCAGCTCTGGATCGAATTACAGCAGCCACCCAGGCCCCACCCCACTTCTCTCGCACAGTCCATTAGACCTGAAAACAAATTTTTCCATGGTGCAGACGACTCCTGCATTTAGAACACTTCATGGGGAAGAAAGAAAAAAAGAGAAAGCAGATCATCTAGTGTGCACTCCCCATCCCCCAAGCTTAGTCCTTTCATCTCAGCCAAACAAGCCACAGCTCTGCTGAATGTGTTTATCACACTTTCAAGAGATAGGAGCCCTGCGTCACTGGAGCCCTAAGACTGGCTGAGCTGCCCTCGTCCTGAGCTTCAGCGCAGCCATTTTAGCTCCGGGCACAACATGGATTCTCCGGGATTCGGCTGGGCTGACACTCGGCAATGAGCCTCCAAGAGCAGCCTGGGCTCCTCCTAGGCTCTTCTCCTCCCAACAAAGAACGAACTGTTTTCATTCCTTTCCCAAAAAAGCTGCACCTCTCTCCTCCTCCCATGTCATGCACCAAGATTTCCGAAGGTTCTATTATCCCATGATTGATAGGCTGGTCCCTTGGTCCCAGCAGAGCACTGGCTACTACAGGACGACCCTGGACCAGACCCTACGCTCCAGCAGGATTGGGGGGCGGGGTGGGGGAACCTCCAGAATGCCTTGGCTTCTTGGGAGTCGTCCTTCCACACACGCAGAAGACATACCATCCGACGCTGCTTGCCAGATTCCAAAGTCTAATGACCTTTGTTAATCACCAGCCAGTCTGTCTGCATCAGCAGACCCTGCCAACAGACACACCCTTCCACACAAAGGCTGTAGCTATTCCTTTTAAAAGAGGTTCTCTGAAAGCTCCATTGTGTAGCCGGGAGGAAAACAAAATCTCTTCCCTTCGAAACTTCAAGCCTTTAGAAATAATGCAACAAAAGCCTTTCTGCTGTGTGTCTTTTGGGAAAGTTGGGAGCCCGGTTTGCGCAACATCAACACAAATGATGGTTCTGCACAAGGAAAGCAGGGCACCTTCAGCGTTCAGTCGTCCACCCAGAGATGAAATTCCTCTCTCTGTGCCGTCCACAAACACCTCGGGCTCTTCCGAAGCTGCTAAGGATTCTAACTTCACCGGATGCAAACACAAACCAACAGTCTCCTTGTTCAGCTACAAAGGAGATTAAAGGGTTATGAGATCAGAAAAAAAAAAAAGCCACTGATTTGGAAAAAAGAAGAGATGATGAAAGTGATTTCCTAATGGGTTCTAGCTTTAATGTTGTTGCAGCCTCTACCTCAAAAATAGCTCAGAGCCTTGGAAGAGGTTAATCTCCAGGCTGCTGAGAGAACCAGCGTCGGGTACAGCTGAGTGGCCTTCAATTTGACGTCTGCACCAAGTACAGAAATGAGGATGTCGCCTCCTTTGAAAGCCATTTTGTCTTTGTGTACACATTTCTCCTGAAGACGCCGACAGAAGAAAACAGAAATTGCCAGCATGGCCCAAACAATCAAAGAAAACAGAAACTTGATGTGGCTGTGAGACTGAGGAGGTACCCATGTGCAAGAAGGCAGAGGAGGAGGAAAAGGGATGAGGGGAAGGGAGAGACAATGAAAACTGGACCCAAGGACAACCCATCCATCAACCAGAGGATGTTTTTGCAGCAGATGGTAATCCTCTGAGAAACCAACAACAAGGAGGAAAAAGATGAGAAATAAGTTTTGTGAAAATGACTGCTCCAGCAACCCTAAAAGGCTAAACTAGACTGATCTGCTACAAAATTGGGGTTTAAAATCAAAAGCCTTGATCTCACATCTACTTACTTCATTTAAAAATACTGTCATGAGATTAGCAATGGTTTTTCCCCCCTCACTGACCAAATCAGCAAAATCAAAGGCAGAAGAAGCTTCTAAATTAACTAAAAAGAAATGTTATTTCAAAAGATCATGAGATGAATCTACAAATCAAACAAGCACCCTTTTCACTCTGTCTCCTATTCCCCATACAGTTCTATTGGGTGACTAGACTCTGAACACCACCCATGATGACACTGGCTAGGTGACTATGGATTCATTCTCCAATAACCTCACACTCATGCGCTAGGTCCCCCTAACCTGGAAGCCCTAGACCAGTGGTTCTCAACCTTCTGGCCTTTAAATACAGTTCCTCATGTTGTGACCCAACCATAAAATTATTTTCGTTGCTACTTCATAATTGTAATGTTGCTACTGTTATGAATCGTAATGTAAATATCTGATATGCAGGCTGGTCTTAGGCAACCCCTGTGAAAGGGTCGTTCAACCGCCAAAGGGGTCGCGACCCACAGGTTGAGAATCGCTGCCCTAGACCAGTGGTCAGCAAACTCATCAGTCAACAGAGCCAAATATCAACAGTACAACGATTGAAATTTCTTTTGAGAGCCAAATTTTTTAAACTTAAACTATATAGGTAGGTACATTGTTATTAACTTAATTAGGGTACTCCTAAGGCTTAGGAAGAGCCACACTCAAGGGGCCAAAGAGCCGCATGTGGCTCCCAAGCTGCAGTTTGCCGACCATGGCCCGACCATCTGATTACTCATTACTCTCCAGTTCTTATTATCTATCAGCTGTTGATTCGTTCAATTTACATGGATAGTTTCACGAATTCAAAATGTGGGGTTTTGATGGGAAACCCCAAATCCAATTTTCCATATTTGACAAACTCTTAAAGTCACATTTAAAGCAAACCCAAAGGTTTTGTTAAAGGTTTGGAATACACGCATGAGAATGGGGAAAGGGAAGTTATGGGAACAGGCCGCTCTTTCTCCACCTTAAGAACACCAATGTGAATATGTACCGTCTGCCCACACACTATCTGTGCTCAGAACTCCTGGGATCCATCAGGCCTCCGTTGTCTTCCTGTGAAGGTGAAAGGAGACAATCCACAGCTCCATGGGGAGTCCTTCCAACTCACTGCGCAGGAGTAACTGGAGATGGGGGAGGTGCCTTGACGGTTCACAGAGTTCTCGCCATCCACGCTTGCCCAGGTTGGGCACTGCTCTTTAAGTCTGCGTGGCCCAGGAGCAGAAACCTGGTCTTCAAGTCAAAATCCCAACTGTCTCCAGGAGGGGCCCAGATTGAACACGCAGGCCTTGCCTGGATCTGACCAGTTCTCTGACTGTACGACTGCAGACCAGAAATAAAGCTGCGAAGCTCCCCCGCCACAGGGACTCAGCAGCAACTAATTATAACCTTCAGAGCCTTTGAGAAACAGAACCAGAAACACCATCAGGTGCTTTTCCTTTGTCCACTCCAGAAACCTAGTTTCACTTAAGACAGCGAGTTCCCCAGTTCTCCTGAATCACAATTCTAATAAAAGGCTTTAGTTTTAGCACCTGTTGCTTGTGCCTTTCTTACTTTCCTGTCCTACCAGTAGAAAACACAATTACCCAAGGACAGGTAGTAGAATACATACATTTTGGAGTAGCTCAGCTAGAAAAACAAAAATCAGGAGCTTAAAGATCTTTCTACAAATATTTTTGCAGATCAGAAACTGTTGAAATGAGGAGGTCAAAGAGCTGTGGGTTGTGTGGGGAGGTTAATGTTTCTATTTGCAAGCCCCAGGACCATGGTTTGGGAGGAATTTTCATGCTTAGGGTGAAAAATGGGGGAGGGGTGAATCACTAATTAATCCACTTGTGAATGTTGGGTTGCTACTCTTAGCAACAAGGGGTGTTCTATATCAGTGGTCACCAACCAGTGGTCCATAAGGTCCGAAAGGTTGGAGACTGCTGTTCTATATCACTTATCATCATGGTCAAAGTGGGAGTCCTAATATTTTAAAATGCAAATATAATATGTCTCTCTCTTTCATATAATACATATATATGTAATTTTTAAAATTTAATTTGAACTCAGATATGAGCATGTGCACTCCAAATTGATAGGAGATCTGTTGGCAAAATAAACCAACAAAGAACATCCAAAACAAGCTACCTCCATCGATCTCACAGCATTTGGTACGACTATAGATCCTAGCTCACCATGTGGTGTCTTCAAATGTCCTATCAAATGTTTATACTGTTTGCTACATGATCTAAGCAGTTCTGTGTACTCTTGGCAATCACCACACTAATGAAAGGTTTAACATATCAGGGAGGATAAATAATTAAGGAATTCAGAAGGGAGACACAGCTGTTCTTCAAAACCAAATTTTCAGAAGAGAAAGAATTAATTTGCAACCACATATGTAACCCCCAATATGAGACTGAATTTACACAGTAGCAGAGAAATACCATGAGACCTTGAATCCTGCCAATGCGTGTGGCCTCTGTGCTACGTGGTCGGCCTGGTCCATCTGTGGAACCTTGTACATTAAATGCAAAGTCTGAAGCAGGCAATCTGTGGATTAATAACCCAGTCACCTTCTGGCCAAGAAAGCTAGTCTTCAGGTTCTCTATTTTAGCTTTGTTCTCCTGCATACAGTTTTCAAGTATTACAGAGCATGCTGGGGTAATATTTCCTAACAGATAGCTTTGAGATCATCATTAAAATGAGATGAGCACCTAGGGATGTAATCCAAGTGACTACAAAAATGCCAGGTATGTAAATAAGCAGTGATTCGGGCTGAGTGACCTGTTATGAAAGTGAGTGTCTAATACAGAAAGAGATAGTACATACCTTCTGGAGAATTCATGCATTCCTTTGCAATGATATAAGGCTAATGGAGGCCAACAAGCCAATAGGCAGCCTGCCAGTTCCCCTGTCCTTAGAAAAGGAAGCGTGTGATTTGAACGAGGAGATAAAAGAGGAGAGAAGGGACTGGAAAAGAAAGGGAGGAAGCAGGGTGGTATCTCAGTAGCTTCGGACTTCATTGTCTGTAAAGGGGGACCTTCAGTGCACTAGATAACTCTTAATTCTGAGACGTGTCCTGACACTATTCTCCTCGAGAAACAAAACGAATCCTTACACTAAAATTCTCAAAAGACAACCATGACAAAAGAGATCCCAGCTCATCTCATTCTTTCAAATGACGGAAAACCATTCTTGGTGTTGACTGAATTCTCTGAAATGGCCTGGTCCCATCAGGAAGTTCCCTGGAAACGGTGAGCCCATTCTTGACCTAGCATTTAGAGCCAGAGAACACTGATTTCTCTCCTCCTGAGCCAACCCTCACCCAAATAGCAGAGACAGAAAATCACGGTGTTCCTTTATAGACTCTTCCAAACGCTGGCTGGGTTTCTACAGACACTTTTCACACTACAAGAACTCTCATTATAAAAATTGTAAAATTAAAGGGAAGTTGCAGATATGCTGCTGGGTCTTCATTACAGAACTGATTAAGACGCAGGCTAAGCAGAAGCTGCGGTACAAGGCATTTTCCACACCATGAAAGACCAAGCAGTGCACGGGGTCCCTCTTCTGTGGGTTTGAACGCTTGACTGACCTCAAGCCTTGGCCATAGCTGTTTCTGGCACAAAAGGTTGAAATTCTATGTTGTCAGTGAATGAATCCAGAAACCATTTTAACAATATACCTCATCTCAATTAGCATTCAGAGGGAGGGAAAAGGACCCCCCCAAATGATGTATGGTTGGCATGTGGACAGTATAAAAAAGTTTTGTTACAACTTCTTTTATTTGGGGAAAAGCCCACAGCTGTCCCAATCTCATTCCTCTGAGACTTGCTCACCACCTTCTAGGCCAGGGGTGGGCAAACTTTTTGACTCGAGGGCCACAATGGGTTCTTAAACTGGACCGGAGGGCTGGAACAAAAGCATGGATGGAGTGTTTGTGTGAACTAATATAAAGTCAAAGTAAACATCATTACATAAAAGGGTACGGTCTTTTTTTTTTTTTAGTTTTATTCATTTCAAACGGGCCGGATCTGGCCCGCGGGCCGTAGTTTGCCCACGGCTGTTCTAGGCTCTTGGTTTGCTCAGAAAATTCAGACAAGTCACTTCCTTTAGATGAGAACTGTCCCTCCCACTTCTGCCTGTATCAGTGGCACACAAGGCCCTGATCCAAGCAAGGCAATGACCTTTCCGATCTAAATTTTTATATCTGATAAAACTGATTACACGAGCCTGGCACCTGGGTCTGCCTGTCCCTCTCCAAACCATGGCTCCTGATCTGATAAAGCCCTCAGCAGGCAGGGATGGCTGGGATGGTGTAGGTCATGACCACATTCATAATTCTTCCTCCCCCAAAAAGACGGTCCTTTCCTTCCCCCCTCCCCTTGGCCTCCACCTTTAACAGAAGCCATTAGGCTATCCTCCCTCCTAATTAAACTAACCACTGGGCCCTTTCAGGTCCACTAATAAAATTTTACAATATAAACAGACAAGCAAACAAACACAGTATGTGTTTATGGATAGGACCAGCAGATACCCAAGAATTTGGATTTTTTTTTTTAAGGTAGCTAAGAAATTTCTCCCCCTTCACAATTCCCATTCTACTTCTTCCATGAGTTAAGTTCACTCCTAAAAATCACTGCACCCCAAAACCTTATAAACAGAAGGTTAAGACGTGTGTCTGTCAACACAACAGTAGAATTTATCACCGTGTGAAAACACTGCCGTGCTCAGGTGCGTGGGTCAAGCCCACATTCCATGAATCCTTGATAAATCTCACCTTTGCCCCACAAACTTAGGTTTTTCAGCTTATTCACTACCGGCCTGTTCTAAAAATAAGTGACAAGGCTACAGCAATGCCTACCTAGCAAGTAAAAGAATTTGTTCCCAGCAGGCGTGATGACGCTGCCTGCCATCTTCACCTGCAGCCAAGTCTGGTGAAGCCTTTCCTTGGATCATTTTGTTAAATGAAGAGATCAGATTATGATGTTCCACCTTTTGGTGCAAAGGGTGTGTTTTAGAAGATTTCCTTCTCAGATTTTCGAAAGATTCCCCCCCACCCCTGCCCCTAATTCATTCCCTTATGATTATTCAGAGACAAACGCCCAGTTTTACATGGCTGACTCCTCATCATTCTGGTTTGGGCTGAAAGGTTTTATCCAAGGGGTTTTCCCTGACAACTCCATCTAACATTAGCCCACCCTCCCCACCCCATGGAATCCAGTCCCCTGTCCACAACCCTGACTGCACTCACTTTTTATCACCTTATGTTGTTTTACTTTCTTCTCGGTTGACATGGTACCTATTTGTTTTGTCTCCCTCCCCTAGAACATCAGCACTCTGAGAG